CGTTTATAGATGTGTTGCACATGTCGATGTTTCTCCCAGACCTGAGCATTTGATTTCTTCTTTGACGTTCGTTTTACGGATAGCAAGATATTCTTAGTTTCAGGCCATCACTTCGAGTGAGTCAGTGCAGTGCTGGTTCGGTTGCGTATCACTTCTTTACTGTTTACTAGACGTTGAACACCTAAGGTTTTTCTTTTTTTATTTTTATTTTCTTATTCATTTCGTCATTTAAGCCTTGCAGCGAAATATGTGAATCTCATTAGAATCCTCGATGTAAATGTTATATTCTTGCAGTTTTCCATGCGTAACTGTTCTTGGGCCGCTTAAATGTTTAAATTTGCTCCAGAAACAACAAAGTTGTGCTTTAAAAGCTGCCTCAATGTTTACTTCGTAGAATTCTATGTTCTTATTGTATTTCGACTGTTTCACGGGTAGCCTTTGCGACTAGTCCTTTTATCACTGTTATTTCAGAGAGCAGCTTTTACGAGTGCAGGTGTCTACAACCATTGACCAACCTCCAGTATTGTTAATTAAACACGTTTCAAGTCTTTTGGTTAGTGGTTTTAGTGAAATGGTCCAACCCTTCTGTTTGTAATCGCCACGTTCCGTGTTTCAGGTAAGTATGGGTAACCGCAGGGTTCGAATGCGTGCCGGTGTGTTGATGCTTTTATCAACATGGTTGAAAAAGTGCCCATCCGCTGTTGCGATTTTCCTTGAAAACGAAGACAATCTTCACTATTTGACAACACAGATCCGTATGTTTGATTTTTTTCAGTTACTAGAACTCGTCATAATCCGTTAGTTTCAGTTGACGACTGTGGTGAAGGAACGGAAAGTGAACAGCAAGTTCTCAAAGGTTTGATGGCTTTCCTTCTGCTAGTCTGCCTAGAGAACGTTGAAGATGCTAATCAAAAGTAAGTGCAGTATTTCCATAAATTATATATCACTCCTTTTATCACTTTATTTGATTTGATGCTCTGTGGCATCTGACGAAAGCTCAAAATTGGGGCATGATTTTTCAAAAACTTATTTGCCTTGCTGGTGGGCAGTATAACTGTAAAAGTATGCAAATAGCGAAATCTTTGCACGAACTCCGACCAACACGGCATGTTCGTCTTGTGGCATACGCTATCCGCCAACTTTTTTTGAGGTTTAG